TGAAGCTTCAGAGAGGGGTAAATATGATGACACTTCACTGCCTATCTGCAAAGATGCTTTGTGCTAGCCAGAGATGGCGCTCAGGAGGCCCGCCTGGGATACACATCTTGTTCAAGGCCAGCCCGGACAACTTAGTAAGACAACCTCAGAATGTAAACATTTTTTTTTTCTTTTTTTTTTTTTTTTGAGACAGGGTCTCCCTATAGCCCCAACTGGCCTGAAACTTCCTAGATAGACCAGGCTGGTCTCAAGGAGATTCTATTCTCCTGTCTCTGCCTCCTGAGGGAGCGACCACACCTGGCTACAACACATTTTTAAAGGGCTGGGGACATAGCTCAGTGTAGAACCCTCGCCTAGCATTCACAAGACTCTGGATTCAATCCCTATACTGCAAAATAATAATGATAATGATTAACACTGATGTTAAAAGGTTGAGGGCAGCAAGATGGCTCAGCAGGTAAAAACACTCACTTGCAGCACAAGCTTGACAACCTGAGTTTGACTTCTAGAACACTGAAGAAAACTGACTTCCAAAGTTGTCCTCTGACATGCACATGCCCACCATGGCAACCACGCCATCCACACACAAAAATTGTACACACACAATAAATGAAATAAAAATAATCACGGAGCGCCCATCACCTTGAGGGGTGACTTGTGGGACTCAGGACTTGCTGCTTAAGAACCTTTGAAGATTTCTAGGTAAAAATGGATGTAGTCAATAAGTCCTTCAGAAACCAATCCTGGCAGTCACCTGAGAAATTGGAGCCCGGGAGGCTTCTGAGAGAGTCCCTGAAGGAGTTAGCAGGTGGGGGCCCAAAGCTCCCAGCCAGGCCTCAGGAAAGGAAATGGATTGATTTATTCGCGTATATATATGTGGTCATATATATAGTACAGTGCACATTTGGAGGTCAGAGAACAGCTTGTAGTACTCAGTTCTCTGGTTCTGTCCTCCCACCATGTGGGTCTCAGGGATCAAACCTTGACAAGGTTCAATGTCACCTTTACCTGCTTACCTCTCTGTCTGGTTCTTGTTCGATTTTAAATCTGGACCCATTGCCATCTCTGTGATAATGTTCCTGTGTGGCAAGAAGAGGAGAAAGAACACTGAGTAAACAGCAGAGTGTCTGCTCCAGACATTCAAGGGGAAACTGAGAGTATAGATGGCATCATAGGGAGGGAGAGAGGGAGGGAGGGAGGCAGGGAGGGAGGGAGGGAGTTGGGACTCTTCCCCATCTCCATTCCTCCTGGGAAGGGACCAGGCTCAGGTTCACAGTAGTAGACAGTAAGGCAGCCTCACTCCAGGAGCTCAGGTCCTAGGACCCCTTTTATTTTGTCCATGAAAGAGAACCCTGGAACCTAGTGCCCACGTAAATGACCCACAGGCCAGTGGCCAGCTGGGAACACCTCCAGGTGACCTGCCATCACTGATTCCCCAGAGCAAGACTGAAATGAACAGTTTTGCTGTAGCCCAGTGGAACAGTGCTTGACTTCCCCAGTAACTCATAAACCACTTAAGAAAGACAAATGTTGCCCCTTACATCTCTCAGTGGAGGGACATGTTGTCTCCAGCTTCATCTTCTATGGGTTTGTGTCTGAGATTTCTTTTCATTTTGTACCCCAGTTGCCCCATTACAGAGGTCCCTGCTTAGCTAATTTCTACCACACTGGTTATCATAGGAAGCATTGGAAATCAATGGGAAGGATCCATTACTCATGAGACTTGAGTTCTGAACCACCACCCCCCAAGCCCAAACACTGGGTCTCTAACACATACCATTTCAAAACACCAGGTACAACCTTGCTATGGGAGTCTGATGTTTTACTTCACCTACAGCATTTCATAGAACTGTGTAAGTGATCAGTCAGAGCTAGCTGCCCTCCAATAGACACTGGCACCCAAACGGGTATAAAATACACTGGTCAGTCGGGAGGCAGAGGCAGGTGAATCTGTGAGTTCAAGGTCAGCCTGGTCTACGTAGGAGTTTCAGGCCAGCTGGGGTTACAGGGAGACTGTCTCAAAAAGACCCCCCCCCAAAAAAAATACACCTGTCAACACAATTGTCTTTTAAAAATGTCTCTGCTAGCTGCTCCAGGCCCTCCTTGGTTGGCAACTGGAGAAAGCACTCAAGCCATCTATAATTATTCTTCTGGAGGGACAGTTTCTAAAGGCAGACAGCAGAATACCATGTCAGGGAGGCCTGGTTCCCCACAATAACCAAGTTGGGAGCAGTTTATGGGGACATCCCTGGTAGGGTTGCCATGCAGAGAAAGTCTGCAAGCCTAGGTGGCAATCCTGTGCCCTCTGCACAAGGCCAGGAGTCTGTTCCTGCTCAGAAGGCTAGAATGGGGGCAACCCCACTGAGGGTGGCTAGGAACGCTGCCAGGAGTGCCTGCCATCCAGCCTCAGTTCAGAGAACTGTCCTGGGCTGCAGCTCACAGAAGCCACCACAGGCTTTCCAGGTCCCACGGAGGCTTTGGGGCTAGGAGAAGGATGGGGGCTTGCAGCAGACAATCTTGAGAAAGGCCCCTCAAACACCCTGCTAAGGAACTCTTACTGCTCTACTCCTGGCCTGTAGGGGGGTAGTCTTTCCTCTGAAGGGCACTGGACCCAAAGTGACGGTCCAGCCCACTAACAAGCAAGACTTAAGCAGCCTACAGTTCCTGAGACCCCCCCTTCCAGCTGCTCAGGGACTTTGCTGACTTTTCATTCTCCTCCCCAAATAACTGGGTTTCGGAAGAACCAATTTTGAAATTTTGCATCATACAAGAGCAAATGTGACCCCACTCAAAACAGCACCCAATCCCCAAATCCTGTTGTTGGGCAAATACATGATTCCTCTGGCATCTAGCATTCAAATCAAGTCTTTGCCACATTAAACTGAGCCCTATCTCCAGCACAGTGACTTGGGGCTGGTAGGATATGGTATACACAAGCCCCAAACCTGGCTGCTCCCTCCATGCACTGGAAAACCCAAATGTCGTTTTGCCTCATTTTAGCCACATAATCATTTCTGAGGACTTAGGGCAGGAGAAGGAATGATTAAATAATCGTAGCCTTTCATTTCCCCACAAGTAGCATGCTCTTTTTACCACTTTAGATATTTAAGTTGCATATAACACTGCAATTTAAAAATGGGCTTATACATGGGGTTGTGTACTTGGGAGGCAGAGGCACGTGGATCTTGTGTTTGAGGCCAGCTTGGTCTACTAGTAAATTCCAGGCCAGTCACAGTTAAATAGTGAGACTCTTGTATCACAAAAAAATAGTGTACAGGGATCAGCGAGATGGCTATCTGAGTTCAGTCCTCATAACCCATGTGAAGGTAAGAGAATTAACCCCACTAAGTTGTCCTCTGACTTGCATATGCATGCCACAGATGTCACACACGCACACATATACAATACATAAATTCAGATAATTTTTAAAATACATACACATACACCACCATTCAACAATTACAAAAACTTAGAAACATTCTTTTAACATGTAACATTTGCAACAAACAAAACCAGCTGAAAAACTTTCTCCTTATGAAATTGTACAGCCTGTTTTCTTTCAATTTGCACGTAGCATTATTAGTCTTTTATTTTATCCGTCCAACAGACATTCTTATGTACCAGTTAAACTTTTTTTGTATTTGTATAGAATAATCTTTGGTAGTTTGAATTTCTGTTTTCAATAAAGAATTTGAGCCCCGTACACAAAGAAACATCAAATCATTTCAAAAACAGTGTTAGTATTTTGTTTTAAATATGTTAATTTTGGGTTGCAGCCTTTGCTGAAAATAGAACAGGAAGTCATCAGGTCTGCAGTTCCCAAACACCTCCAAGGCAACAGTGGCAGTTTCACCTGTGGCTATTGTCCGGAAATATAAATTTCCAAGCCCCACACCCAGATTTTGACTCAAAAAATCCAGGGTGGGGCTTAGAAATCAGCAGTTATTTGGGGGTATTTTAGTATGCCAAACAATCTATGGCCAAAATAATCATAACAAACGGTTAGGGATTGAAATGCCATTGTGTATTCCTAACCTAGTCCCAGCAAAAACCAAATATTCAAGGCTGCACTGGTTTTAGAGTTCTGCCTGAGGGCTGAGGGTGTACCTCAGGGCTGGAGAGAGAGCAAGGGTAGGCCCAGGCTTCACTTTCAAGCACCAAATAAATTAAAAGTCCTGCCTGAGGGAACCCCTTCCAGGAACCAGCCAGGACTGAGGCAAGGCCAAGAGAATTTGAGAGACTTTTAAGTGGGGAAAAACTCTTTTTTTAATTTAATTTTTTTGGAGGGGGTCTTTTTGAAACAGGGTCTCCCTGTGGTTCCCAGCTGGCCTGGAACTCACTATGTAGACCAGGCTGGCCTCAAACTCACAGAGATCCACCTGCCTCTGCCTCCCAACATCTGGGACTACAAGCGTGCGCCACCACACCCGGCGGAGAAATATTCCTTATTTGACCAAAACTGAGTTTCCATCACAGCTTGACAGAAAGTGACAGGCATCTTGTCATGTGGTTGAAATGAACATGAGTAAAATTAAAGAGCTCTGTTAGTCAGCTGGAGGACACATCAGTAAAGACCAGTGGAAACAGCCCAGGACCTCAGAATGAGCTTTGCTTTGAGCAGATAAAAAGGAAAATAAAACTGGAGTTGATAGAAGCAAAACCACCGGGCAGCTTGTAGTTTTTTAGACCTACATTAGAAATGAATATATAACAACTATGGCCAAAACAACAAAAAACACCAGAAAGAAAATCAACCTAATTTAACACTTCTTTCTTTTCCTTGGGTTAACATAACCATAAAAAAAAAAAAGTAGTGATCTTAATTAAGAGGTGTGTGTAAAGTACTTAAGTTTGTTCTCTTGTTGACATTTAAATGTAATTTCCTCTAAAAACTACTCTCAGGTAGAACTCACGAAATTGTTGGTTCAGAAATTATACTGCCGATAAGACAAAACTTAAGATAACCTACTAGAGAAAAATCTACTGGTTTTTACACTTACCCCTGAGGCTGTTGGTTGTGTAGAAGGAGAAGTGTTTTTGGTGCAGTCGTCTGAGTTGGAGGAGGAAGTTGGAGTCATAGGAACAGAGTTATTGCTGTTACCTGCAAGAGTGAAAATGAACCCATGAGCACGAGCACATCTGTGAAAGTTGGCAAACACTTTCCAAATCAAAAGGCATTTTATTATATTTACCAGAGCAAGTCTTTGACTTATTTATGTTTTTAGGTTTTCGTTTCCTAGTTTGAATTCCTTCTTTCTTCATAGCGAGTGGTCGAGGCACCTAAAAAAAATGTCCACACAGGCCTTAAGTTTACAAAATATTACATTGAAGGAAAGCCAAACCAAAGACAAGACTAAAGCCTCATCTGAAAGAACTGGGGGGTATAGCTCGGTGGGCAGAGTGCTTGCTTAACCTGCCTAAGGTCCTAGGTTCAGTCCCCGAGCATTTCAGGAAAAATTCATTGAACTTTTCGGGTTTTCTCTTTTCTTCTTTTTTTCCTCCAAGTTCTGAGGACTGAACCTGTGACCTCAGCACTCTACCTCTGAGCTACAGTGCCAGCCCTAACCTAAATAAAACTCTTCCTATAAATTTCAACCCAATTTTTATACATACTCAGTAGATTCCAAGTGTACAAAGACATTTTCCAGCATTTTCTCCAACAAATGCAGAGATACTTTCAGAAAAAAAAAAAAAACGAAGTGGTTTAACCAAGGACAATTTAATTTTTTCAAATCTGTTTAACTGAAATAACTTTAATTATAGAGCAAGTATTTATTTTATAAATCTTTACATTTAATATCCTTATTTGAAAGAGATCATGGGGGGGTGGAAAGATGGCTCAGCGATCAGAAGCACCGGTTGCTTTTGTAGAGAACCCGGGTTCAGTTCCCAGCACCCACAGAGAGGCCAACAACCATCCTTAACTCCAGTTCCAGGGGATCTGATGCCCTTTTCTGACCTCACGGTACTTAACGACATTCAGGCAAAAATAAAAATAATTTTTAAAATAAAAGCATCCACGCACTCTTTATTCCTCAAACACATCATTCCCTTTGTGAGACTGAGGTGTTAGCCAGGCATGGTGGCTCAGTGCCTAAAATCCCAGCACTCCAAAGGCGGAGGCTGTAGGGTTGTAGTGAGTTCAAGAATACACTGGGCTACAAAGTGAGTTTGAGGTCAGCCTACCCTATAGAACAAGATCTTCTCTCAAAAAGCTTTTTTTCTTTGGTCTTTTTGAAGCAGGATCTCCCTGTAGCCCCAGCTGTCCTGGAACTCACTATGTAGACCAGGCTGGGTCACAAATGCTGGGACTACAGGCGTGCGCCACCATGCCCGCCTTCAAAAAGCATTTTTTAAACATTGAAATTTATAATAATTTCTGCAGTCCTTTAAAATAAAATGTAGGCTCCTAACTAAAACTATCAAATATATAGTTCCTTTGTGCAAATATCTTTACATTCAAATTCCTTAAAATTTAAGATCTATAGTAATTACTGTAGACTACTACATTTGTAGTCGACGTCTTTAAGGGTAGTTTAAAAATGGTTATTACCAACTCGGAAGGCAGAGGCAGACAGATCTTTGTGAACCTGGTCTACATAGCAAGTTTCAGGCCAGCCAGGGTTACAGGGAGACCCTGTCTCAAAAAAAGAGCACATTTTCACATTTCTACAACTGGGAAGTTTTACAAAGAGTGTAACTGATAGTTTAATTAGCAGTGTGTTTTTATTTGTTTGCTTCTTACAGCATGAGAATAGTTCACATTACAATTAACATTATAGATTCAACACAGCGCATACACATGTTTAATTTTTTTCTTTTTCTTTTTTTTGCTTTCATACCCTTTCATTTGCTGATTAGGTCTTGAAACTGAAACTGTGTACAACAAGATACTAAATGTACATATTCATGGACAGAATAAATGGCGTACCCCATGGAGTTTCATGTAGAGTCCACAAGCGTTGCACACAGGTTCACCCTCAGCATTTCTGCGCCATAAGGTGGTGGTTGTGGTGTGACAGTTAGCACAGGACAGTCCAAGCCGCCGTGATGAAGGCTAGGAAACAGCAATGTGATTTTTGCATATTTTAATTTTTATATGTATTTTATATGTGTACACAAATTCAGCATGTTCCTATCTTCAACAGCATGCTCCTAGTTTATTAGAAATGAAGTGTCCCTTAAAAAAAAAATCCAAAGTGTAATTAGGCTGACCTTCTGGACCAAAAAACTTGAGAACTGCATAGCCTTTTGACCCTGGAGAGTCACTCCTCCAGCCATACATGCTGGTCATAGTCATACATGCTGACCATGCAAACCTTTCAAAGACAGCATACATGCACAGTCTGAGGGCGGCACCTCTCCTTCAAGAATTCAATTTTCCACATATTACTGTTACTTTCTAAGGAAAATTAGATTTTCTCAAAGTTGCCCAACTAGAGCTAAATTCTGGAACATACCAAAACTACAACCCCAACCATACAGCCTACTCAGTTGTCACAAGTCTGAGATGTAAGTCCTAAAAAAAAAAAAAGCAAAGCTTGCCAAGGTGCTAAATTGGGTCATCTCCACCAAAGAACTAGAGACAAGCACATCTATTTCTCTGTCACATAGAAAGAAAAATCAGCCAGAAACAGTAGAAGGGTGCTGGAACAGGTACACACCTTGGGGAAGGTAGAAAATTTGAGCAAGGATACATTGTCCATAATTGTCATCCGGCTGCCTGCTTTTTCTGCCTTACAAAAGATTCAAGCCAATTTTTTTTACATTTTTTTAATGTTAACATCACCTAATGCATAATGATATTAATGCATTTTAATTTGTCTAACTTCACATACACAGCTAACTGGTAACCAGGGCAGACTTCTTGTTTGATGGTGCCACTCTCACTTAATGATTTAATGTCCTTTGTATGCCTCTAACATGCTTGAAGGAATATATTTCCTCCACATGGGAAGAGAGAGAGAGTGAGAGAGAGAGAGAGAGAGGGAGAGAGAGAAATGGAGACAGAGAGAATTTAAGACAATATAAACTCTCCTGGAATGACAAAATATAACACTTACTTTTTAAATTATCAAATTTAAACTGTTGTGGAGATGTGATCATATATTTTTTTTAAAGCCTACTGTGAAAATTCAGGAATTAA